AAGGCAGGCTTCTGGGCCGTAAGTGCATGTCTGAGTGGGAACGAGGCCGAGAGGCCTGAGTGATGAAAGGAAGGAGTCCTTGAGGCCTGGACCGTACCGCCAGGAGGCCAGAAATGCAGAGGTCAGCTGAAAGCAGGGTATGTTTAATTTTTAAAAATGGTTTCATGGGATAAAAATGCAAAGATTCCTTAAGACACATTCTCTTGGGACTTCACATTGGTTAAAAAATAAAGCCCCCGTGACTTAGGACTCTCAAAGAAAATCAGAATTAAAGAGCTAGGATGGTGTAAGCAAAACAAATCTGGGAAAGCCTTACCATGTTTTCCCACCCGAAAGAGTATGAAAGAATCCACGTTGGAGGAAAACATCTTGAATAGAAGAGTGATTTAGCTTGTATCCTATGGCAGGTATTCACCTGTTTTAAATAGTTTGGTCTGAGCAGGGTCACACTGAAAGAGCACAGAGAGAACAGTTCGTGTAGGGCCTTAAAAGACGGGTGAACATGGGCAAACATTTATTTAGGTGTGGCATTTATTACGGTGGATGGCAAGCCCATTTATTGAGCACTCTCTCTGTTCCACGCACTGGCCTGGCCTCGTGCGTGCATTTTTTGTGAGTTGGGTTTTGGGGTTGGGGGGGGGCGTTGGTCAGATTTCACATATAAGTGAGGTGATACAGGAGTTTGCCTTAGTCTAACTTAGCTTAATGCCCTTGGGGTCCAACCGTGTCATTGCAAATGGCAGGATTTCCTGTAACTTGCGACATACGCATTTTCTGAAATCTCGCAATCACCCTGCCGTGTTGGTATTATGACTCTCATTTCAGCCACGAGGAAACATTGCTCAGTGAGAGTAAGAAATATCCCCAGGCCGCTTACCTGGTAAATGGCAGAATCAGCATTCAAATCCAGGCCTTTTAAAAATTTTTTTTTTTTTAACGTTTATTTATTTTTTTGGGACAGAGAGAGACAGAGCATGAACGGGGGAGGGGCAGAGAGAGAGGGAGACACAGAATCAGAAACAGGCTCCAGGCTCTGAGCCATCAGCCCAGAGCCCGACGCGGGGCTCGAACTCACGGACCGCGAGATCGTGACCTGGCTGAAGTCGGTCGCTTAACCGACTGCACCACCCAGGCGCCCCAGAAATCCAGGCCTTTTAAAATTCCATACGAATGAACCCATACAAACGGAATTGATGTGGAAAACGTCTTCCACATAGTAGGTGCGCTGCTTGAGCTAGTGCTGAAGTGAGTTCAGGGAACCCAAAGCAACATTGTCGTTTGGTCCCTTTGGTTGGCATCCCGGGGTCTTTGTCTCTAGCAGGTTAGCTCACGTAGTTTGATAAAGCCTTTTTCCTCCTCTCCACTTTAATTGTTGTCCGTTCTAATCTTAGAAATGTGTTCCTGAAGTGAGTATCGTAAGGGGTGGGATTCTGTTGTATAAAGCTGATTCCCATACACAACTCCATATGCAGGGCTAGAATTATTGGTTACGGGAGGTGAGCCAAGGAAGAACGCATGTTCTGTGTTGATGTCTTACCTGTCAGAACAGAAAATTATTATCTGTGGCCCTTGTTCCTACACGCTGGCCTTCACCACGCCTTTAGTTTGTTTTTCTGTTTTTCAGTGTCTCCTCTTCCTGCTACTACCTACAGTCTTTGAAAAGTTAACGTATAGAAGACCTGAGATTTCCATGGGATCCTTTGTAGAGCTGTATATTTAAAATTTATGTCTTCCCATGATGAAAAAACATGACACCACATCTAATCTCTCTATCCTCCAAGGAATAAAAGACCTTCAGGGAGGGGCGCCTGGGTGGCTCCGTTGGTTGGGTGTCTGACTTCAGTTCACGGGTTCGAGCCCCGCATCAGTTCTCTGCTGTCAGAGAGGAGCCTGCTTCAGATCCTCTGTCTCCTTCTCTCTCTGTTCCTCCCCCACTTGCTGTTTCTCTCAAAATAAATAAATAAACTTAAAAAAAAAAAAAAAAAAAGACCCTAGGGAAATGATCATGCTAACATAAAAAAAAAATATTTTGGATCTGTATTTTTATGATGCAAAACTCTCCTGAATAATAGAAAGATGTATTCAAGAAAATCCTATTTCTGGGGCACCTACGTGGCTCGGTTGGTGAAGCGTCCGACTTTGGCTCAGGTCACGATCTCACAGTTTGTGAGTCCGAGCCCCACGTTGGGTTCTATGCTGACAGGTCAGAGCCTGGAGCCTGCTTCAAATTCTTTTCTCTCTCTCAAAAATAAATAAACAGTAAAAAAATTAAAAAGAAAATCCTACTTCTGGCAGCAAACCCAAATCTGATTAAGACTACATCTTCTTTTAAAGGGCACCATTGTATAGTGCTGGTTGCAGTTTAAAATGGAGCAGCCTGTTTAGACAGTAGTTTGGAAAAGAATTGAAAAAGGTTTTGGTAACTCATGGCTTACTCATGCTACCCCTGGGAATCTGTCCCAGGGAAAGAATTCTAAATAGAAAGAAGCTTTTCACATACAGATTTTTTGAAGTAGAATATTTATCATAGTGAAAAAAATATAAACTCCAGTATCAAAAAAAGGTAAATGGTTTGAATAATTTTAAATGGCAGATTTAAAAAGCATATTGCATGAAAATAGCTGGATAAAAATGAAATACCTTATGATTATAGCTGTGGGAGTAAAATCTATGTATGTAAAGAAATTTCCAGAAAAAATGGAAGCACCATCACTATCAATGATTGTGTTTCAGTGAAACAATTACGGGCAACTTTTTTTTGTTTCTTTTTTTACAGTCTCTATTTCCATTTGAGGATGAGTACCTTTTATATCAGTGAAGATCATAGTGGATAACAAGAATTAGATTCTAGAGATTTATGCCCAGTTTATGTCTACTATGCTCTTGCCCAGAATGTGGTAGCCTTTCTCAGTCTGCATATTGTGGATGGATCTGTGTGACTTCATGGCTTTTAGCTCAGTCCTCGACCCAGACAACAGTTCTGTAGAACAAATTAAATTTGGAAGTAAAGATGGACTCTCTATTCCAAATCCCTCCTTTCCCTCCTGACAAGCAGAGTCAAAGAAGAGCTCCTTCAGAAGCGAGAAACGGCTCAGAAAAAGTCCACTGGCCCATAACATAAAGAAACACAATGCCACTTAAGACAATACCACTTTTGTCTTTCTCTGACCGACTTATTTTGCTTCGCGTATTACATTCTAGTTACTTCCATGTTGTTGCAAACGATGAGATTTCATTCTTTTTGATCGCGAGCAATATCCCATTGTATATGTGTATCACATCTTCTCTATCCATTCATCAGTCGATGGATATTTGGGCTCTTTCCATAATTTGGCTATTGTTGATAGCACTGCTGTAAACATTAGGGTGCATGTACCCCTTCAAATCAGCATTTTTGTATCCTTTGGATAAATACCTAGTACTGCAATTTCTGGGTTGTAGTGTAGTTCTATTTTTAGGTCTTTGAGGAGCCTCCATACTGTTTTCCAGAGTGGCCACACCAGTTTTCATTCTTCCCCTTTCTCCATATCCTTGCCAACATCTGTTGTTTTCCTGAGTTGTTAACTTTAGCCGTTCTGACATGTGTAAGGAGGTATATCATTGTGGCTTTGATTTGTCTTCGCCTGGTGATGAGTGATGTTGCGCGTCTTTTCATGTGTCTGTTAGCCTTCTGGATATCTTCTTTGGAAAAGGGTCTATTCATATATTCTGCGCATTTCTTCACTGGGTTATTTGTTTTCTGGGTGTTGAATTTGATAAGTTCTTTACAGATTTTGGATACTAACCCTTTAGCAGATATGTCGTTCGCAAATATCTTCTCCCATTCTATCAGTTGTCTTAGGAGGGCGCTTGTTGGGCTAAGCACCAGGTGTTTTATGTAGGTGATGAATCACTGGCTTCTGCTCCTGAAACCAATACTATACGATATGTTAACTCACTTGAACTTAAAGAAATATATTTAAAAATGTTTAAAGTTTATTTATTTTCAGAGAGACAGAGAGAGGGAGTGGGGGAGGGGCAGAGAGAGGGAGAGAGAAAATCCCAAGCAGGCTCCACACTGTCAGTGTTGAGCCTGATGCAAGGCTTGAAGTCACAAACGGTGAGATCATGACCTGAGCCGAAACCAAGAGTCGGACGCTTAACTAAGCCACCCAGGTGCCCCCAAATAAATATTTTTTTTAAAAAAAACAGTACCACTTTTCACCATTTCTGAGCTTACCTATTTTTCCACCTTGCGGGTAAACAGGAATTGCCTAACTAGAGGGCAAATACTTACCTGTAAACTTTCAAAGCATCAAATAACAAAGGGTACCATCTTTAATGGCTGACCCAACTCAAGGAGGAAAAAATAATAGAATTAAATGTCATTGATTTTCATAATTCCCTGCAGCCTTCAAGAAGATATATTCTCTGGTTCTTTTTTTCACCCAAAACACTGTCCTTCCTGCAACTATGTTATTAATTAAAGTAGCTGTTTGGGGTAGGAGTGGTGGTTGCTAAGTCTTTTTCACTGAAAGCAGAGAAGGGGCACTTTATCTCTTATGCTTTCCAAGAGAACGGTGGCCTTTTTCTAGTTTGGAAATGGGCGGTATGTGGCTGAGAGCGGAAAGATTTTACATGTTGTGAATACTAATAATCTGTTTTGTGATAAACAACCGAGGTGGAAAACCAGCAACGATGACAGTAGAGGGGCCCCTGGGTGGCTCAGTTGGTTGAGCTTCCGATTCTCGATTTCGGCTCGGGTCCTGACCTCACGGTTTGTGGGATTGAGCCCCACATCAGGCTCAGTGCTGACAGTCAGAGCCTGCTTGGGATTCTCTCTCTCTCTAAAAAAATAAATAAAAACTTTAAAAAGAAATGACAGTAGATATTCGGTGTCTGTTTGTATGTTGGAGGGGAAAGGGAGGAACACTGTTGTGGTTTTGGTTTTGGTTTTTTGGGGGTTTTTTTGTTTTTTTTTTGTTTTTTTACTTTTTTCTCCCTTTCTTTTCCCTCCTTAGACAAAGCCCGTTGCATTTGCTGTTCGGACAAATGTCAGCTATAGTGCAGCCCACGAAGATGATGTTCCAGTGCCAGGCATGGCCATCTCCTTCGAAGCAAAAGATTTTCTGCATGTTAAGGAAGTAAGGAAAATAATTTGAATTTCTACCCGCCTGATGTTTTCACCTTGAAACATCATTTCTTATTTCTTATTGCCATGAAATAGCATTGCGTAGAGCTCCACTTGCATAACATGCACAAATTCAGCGCCTCTCAACCTTTTCTAATATAAATATAACCTTTTTAAAGAAGAAAGAAGTCACAGGCCTCTTGCAGTTAACCTCAGGGCTCCCCTGGGCTCTGTGACCCAGAAATTGGGAAATACTGGAGTAGATGATCCTTTTTTTATGCTTAACCTGTACTTTTCTTTTAATTTTTAACCTTGGCTGCATGTCGAGTCCCTCTCATGTCTCAAGTTTAACCATCTGGGGGAGAGTTAATAATAATACCTAGAATTCATGATCTCTCCTCTCTGCTGACAATGTCTGAAGGCGGACCACTGGTGCCCTGATCCTCCTTTGGGGAGTAAATGTCTGAAGCGGAGGGAGAATCGTGGGAATTGGAGCCATTGATGCAAGAAGCAGATAGCCAGACGCTCCCTTTTCCTCCATGCCGGAGGTCTCCACCTGCCAGTTAACAATGACTCCTGCCTGTACATTGGAAAAATTCACCCTTAATTAAGGCTTATTTTGAGTCAATATTTACCAAATACCAGCTGTGCAGAACATGGCATTAAGCGACCAGAAATTCCCCCTCAATGATGTTCTCAGTGTGTGAGCATGAGGTTTCCCCGGACCTGCAGGAGTGACCATTGGAACAGACTTCCATCTAAGGGACGATGTGTCAGGAAGAATGTATGTAAATTTAGCTGCTCACTAAAGTAAAGGAGGTGAGGACTCCCAATTCAAAAAGCCTAGTCAATGGGGTGCCTGGGTGGCTCAGTCGGTTGAGCGTCCGACTTCGGCTCAGGTCACGATCTCACGGACCGTGAGTTCGAGCCCCGCGTCGGACTCTGGGCTGATGGCTCAGAGCCTGGAGCCCGCTTCCAGTTCTGTGTCTCCCTCTCTCTCTGCCCCTCCCCCGTTCATGCTCTGTCTCTCTCTGTCTCAAAAATAAATAAACGTTAAAAAAATTTTTTTTAAATAAATAAATAAAAAAGCCTAGTCAAGACTCTAATAAAAAAAATTTATTAAAGAAAAAATAAATCCGTACTCTAAAACTCTGTGTAGTAAAGAGGTGTAGAGAGGTACAGTTTTAGCCTCGATTCAGAAATGTTTTTATATGTGTAAGAAAAAAAAAAAAAGCCTGGAGAATTGAGAACCTACCATTTCGTTAACTTTTTAGAAAGAGATACGAAATACTGGCTGGAAAGGAAAGACCATAAAAGCTGTCAGAAATGGTGGCATGCCTACAATCTGACTTCACAGGCAGAAGTTAGGTTAATCCAGGGTCCCGTTCTGATGGCTGATGCTTAAAGACAGATCTCTTCTCTACCATGGAAGGAAAAGAAAAACAGAGTGGCCAGTCTTCTTTGAAATGTTCGAGAATAGACTGGCAAAGTACTATTCCATTGAGAGGATTAAAAACAAATCATAAAGATGTAGGATAAACATTCTATCTGCAAGAGAGGAATTGTCAACATCCACGTAAATGGAGAAATCATCTGTGAACACCATACCATTGTAACTATAAACCTGTTTGCATAAAGGGAAATTTGGCCCCGGAACAAAATATTTCAGGTAGATTTCAGTATTTATCTCTGACTCTTAATATTTTTAAGCAATCTGATTACAGAAGAGAACTCTGTAGCACTCCCTGGTTCTTAATGGGAAGAATTGTGAATATTTGAACCAGGGGCCTGCAGAGGCCGCACCGAAGTTCAGGCTAATCTCACATAGTACCAGGAAAGAGAATGAGGGGTAAATCCTATGGTGAATTGCTGAGGTCACTGGCCATACTTCAGTCTTACCTGTTCAACCCATGAAAGCCTTAGGCTTTCTCCAGTTGTGATGTTGAGGCATAGTTAACTGTATTCGCCATAATATTTCTCTCCACTGAAAATAGTTCATGTAGAAGAAAAACAATCTGAATACATGAACTTCTGTGCACTGATCGTAACAAATTTGATTTTGCGTTTAGAAATTTAACAATGACTGGTGGATAGGGCGATTGGTTAAAGAAGGCTGTGAAATCGGATTCATTCCAAGCCCAGTCAAACTAGAAAATATGAGACTACAGCATGAACAGAGAGCCAAGCAAGGGAAATTCTACTCCAGGTATGAGAAAAACATCAAGTGTCTTTGTAAACGTCCAGACTGTGTCATCATTTATGTCCTCTTGTTTTCTGTGTTCCACAGTCTTTATTATGTGTTGAAAAGCAGACTGGTGATATGGTTTATTGATAGAATCACAAATCCTGCATTTTAAAGCCTTCATCCCAGCATCTGATTGTCCTCTTATTTGGGAGAGAATCAAATTAATTGTTGTCGTTAATCATAAAGGCATGGAGTATTAAATGTGGGCTTCAGTGCAGAGGAAATTCTCAAGTCCTCATCTCTTACCGAAAACACTGGGACACTGAGCAGCCTTCATGACTAATCCGAGTATCCGTGGTAGCTGCCTGGCATGGCAGGAAGGTGTTTTAGAGATGATGGTCTTAGACTTCACTGGCGAAGAGCAGGTCTTGTGACCTGTTACTTCATTTTCACTTAGGAAACTCAATTTTCAGTTCTACCCATCGCTAAGCACGTAAAGGGAAACTCAATATGAAACCAGTTAACGCTGCCTTTGCAGATAGCAATTAAATGAGTTATGTAATAAGCTGGGGCTGAATAATCCTTCTTAGGATTCTTGAGGTTGTGTGCCCCTCATTAAAAGAATCACTGGAGGAGCTACTCAGACATGGAGTGAATTTGAAATTGAACCCTATGCAGACAAGTCCGAGAACACGGCCTGATTCTTCTGCTTCTCCTTGTCGGAAGGGATGTGATTGGGGCAAACCTTTTCATTAATGTGAATTGCTAGGTTTCTATTTTCTTGGTTATATTTTGTTTCTATAATGCTGGAAGATCCTTTGCCAATGGTAATATTTTAGCACAGGCAAGATTTTCTTCCCCCAAGTATCTGCAAATAAGTCATCTAGAAGATCTTTTTTTTGGTTTGAAACATCCCTATTTTGTAACTGTCAGGCTGTTTGGGTTCAGGTGGATTCCTCCCTTATTTGAAACCTCTCCCCCATTATTTGGCTGTCATTAATCCCCGGGCTACTGGGGGCTCTCAGATTGTGAGATGCATTTAGTCCTATAAAAGTGGATGCACGCAGATCAACAGTGCATGCACATTTCACTTGTAGGGTGTTAGAGATCGGATCCTATTCATAAAATTTCCAGCGTTCTCCTGGGAAAATTGTTATTTTTCTAATCTCTGTATTGATAGTAGTCTCTCAGTACTAACTAGTAAAATCTTATAATGTGAAAAAGTTTTCTTTTCATAGGGTATATATATTGCTGTTTTGACTTTGGTGGGATATAGTTTGTTGAGGTTTGAAGTGATCTCAGATAGGGGATTGTTTTGATTTTGTTTGTTGAGGATAATTCAGTATTTTCAAGCATTTACCTGGTCAAACAAGTTTAGGACAGTACTTGGTAATAGCAAATTACCTTAAAGCTGTTCCCAGCCTTTAATCTGTTCAGCCTATGAATCTGGATAGTGGGAGGGGGATATTTTTCAGGGGTCTACTAAAATCATCTTGAACGTTTCTTGGTGCATGTCTTTGGAATCGTGTTTTGTAGAATGTACTGTAGGAAATTTGGGATGGGTTTTTACGGAGATAGACTTGTATATCTTTCTCTGCTTATTCACGTACAAACTGAGAATACTTCCCAAGGAGTAGGAAGGGAGAAGCTTTGGCCAACGTTGTTAAGGAAGCGCGGTTTCCTCTGCCTCCCAAGCGGGCATCCCTGGTCTGATGTCGGTCATCAGCTCAGCTTTATAAGAACCTGTGGGCACAAGAAGCATGAGCGTTTCCACTTCACGGATGAGGCGACAGGCAAAGAAGCTAGGGAACTTGACCAAGCTTGCACAGCTTGTAAGTGGTAGAATGAGGATGAGAACTCGATCCATCTGACTGTAGCCAGACCGCAGACGGACGACCATGCTATGCCGCACGTCGTGTGGCAAGGGCCCGTTTTTATTTACTATATTAGATCGTATTGCTTTTGCATTTTTTCCCTTAAAGGACCATATAAACTATCTGTATTTGGGGAGTAACGCCTCATAACTTATTCTAGGGAGCTAGGTGACCTTTACTAGACCTCTGGATCTTTTCTTTTGATTTTCTTGATTTTATTTTGTCCTGGTTACCTAAGTTTTTGCCTCAGTATGTGAAGGTGTTTTTACTTTCAGAGGTCTTAGGTTTGTCTTCTAACATCCGAAATACGGTTCGATTCTGAGGACATAGCCAGCATTCAGCAGTACGTAAAAAGCCTGATGTTTTTTAAATTATAAAAATCAACCGACATCAAAAGTGGCAAATGGGGGCAGAGCTCAAGAATGTGGCATTTGTCTGGAATTAAAAGTTAAGGGCAAATTTGCATTTTGAACATTTTGACTATTTGCAGTGGTTGTCGAAATTTTACACAATTCAAATAATACTTTGACTTTTATTAAAATTCAAAGAGAATGTAAAACAGACCCATGCTTGAACTGAAATTAGACTCAGTACCTTAGAAAAAGGAAAAGCAAAACCAAACACACACTAAACGTCTGGAAGAAAATGTTTTGGTCCTGGTAATGGGTATTCTTACAGCTTCTATAAATACCACTTTTTATTAATTTTATATGCAGTCTGGTATTATTAACTGTACTGGAGTACCTCTTAAGAATCGGGAAAAAGATACAGAGGCCTCCTGCTAGCTATTAAAGTTTTTGACGTTTGTCTATTTTATGCATCAAAATGCCAGAATAGCAGCAATACGGTTGAGCCTGGTTATTGATATTTTAGTGGAATTCATATTTTTATCTTAATGTTTGTGTAACTTAAACATTGCCCTTTGGTGCATAGACACTGTAGCAAATTCTTTCAAGTACACCCACGATTGGCTCTGATAATAAACGTTAGGCGCTAAGATCGCCTTGCCAAAACTGCCTGTCACTCTTGTACGATATTCCTTTCCATCTTCTTCCTTAAGGGGCCATTTGGTAGTAGGGCATTTAGCATGCTGGTATGCCGGTGAAAAAACATAAACGCTCTGATTCCGATAACTTTATCCCGTAAAGTTGCTAAGACGCTGGCGTGTCTTGTTTCGGATTTTAGAATTTGGTGGTTCTGAAGTACACGCTCTTCAGTTTGTGCCTAAAATCCCCAAGTTGAATCCTCCGTGGTAGGCAGGCTTGAGACATGTTCCGAATACTAACTACTATCAGAGGGTTAAATCACAGAACACTTGTGTGTGTCATGCTCCGTTGTGGATCTTTTAAAGGTTAGCAAGTTGAGTATTGCTGTGTTTTTCTTTTGTAGGTTGCTCACGAAAGCTTGCGTACTTTCAATCTTAATACACTGAAAGTAACCCAGCTAAGACAGAGAAGCAGAAACCACACAAGAAGGAAGTCATAAGTTTTGGTGTTAACTTTAAGGTTCTGTGCATTACTTCAGAAGGTCGCTAACATAAAAAGCAAAGGGCATCAGTGGTTATCTCTCTGTGATGCTGGTGGAGAGCGTGAGGGCCGCAGATATTACCCTAGTTCTCTTCCATTCTCTCAGGGCCTTTTAAAATTAAACCTTGAATTTGAAACAGAGACTATTACATGGCTGTTTCAAGTACTCCAGGAATCTCCGCTGGGAAATTATTATTTGCCTCCTTGTAGGAAAGACAAGTTTAAAGTTCAATAAAAAGACAATGACTAATCATGTTTATTGAGCAATAGAAATGTTCTAATGTCTGAAATAAGCATCAGGTGTAACATAAATTTTTGCTTTACTTCAGTAAATCAGGAGGAAATTCATCATCCAGTTTGGGTGACATAGTACCTAGTTCCAGAAAATCTACACCTCCATCGTCCGGTAAGTAGGTAATAAGTGCGAAACGGTACATTCTGCATTTCATGCTTTCCCCAGTCTGACCTAGTTGTGTGAATTTACATACCCAGAATCACCGCCTGAACCCTAGAAAGGTTCAAATTGATCGGACATAAGAATGCTCACATGGGGTAAGAAACAATATGGGGAAATTTTGGCAGGGCTTGGAAAAAAGGAAATATGTCAATGTGTTCGCTGTAAGCTGCTTGGATGACCAAAGTGATGAATGTATTTAACTTTTTTATCCCTACGTACTTCACATGGTGCCCAGCACGTCGTCCTGGGCAGTAAATGGGTGAATACCCACCATCAGATACGGTGTAATGTGCGTTGGCCTCACTGTTAAATAAAAGGAAAAGAAGGATAAATGCTTTGGAAAGGCAAGGAAAGGAGAATAAAATGATGGAGTGATTGGCCTGACACGAGCTTTACCCAAAAGGCTCTTTGGAAGATTTAAGAGATACGTAGAAATATTGAAAAAGACAGAAACACTCATAGGAAGAGTAACTACTGTTTTCTTTCCAAAGCAGTGGAGAAGCACACCACATTAAATTTGAATTCAGATAAAGATTGAATAATTTTTTTAGTATAAGTAAGTATTGTATGAGAAATACTTACAGTAAAAAAAAATTGTTTATCTGAAATTCAAAGTGGACTGTATTTTTCTTCAGTAAATCTGGCAACTCTGGGGGCGCCTGGGTGGCTCAATCAGTTGAGCGTACGACTCTTGCTTTCGGCTCAGGTCAGTCTCATGGTTCGTGGGATCGAGCCCCACATTGGGCTCTGTGCTGACAATGCAGAACCTGCTTGCTTGGGATTCTCTCTCTCCTCCTCTCTGCCCCTCCCCTGCTCACTCTCTCTCTCTAAAAATAAATATACATTAAAAAAAATAAAGCTGGCAACTCTACCCTTCTCTGTAGAACTTGGAGTTCTATATGATTAGGAGGCCAGTTGGTGGAACTGCAGAAAGCCCAGGATTATCAGAATCTTAGTTTGCTAAGAGAGGCAACTGGGACTCAGAGGAGGACTCCAGGGAGTTACCAGCAGAGCATTTGAGTGAAATGATTCCTCGTGTGATTCCAAGGAAGCTGGAAGAGGGAAGCGTATACATCCGCGGAGAAGGTAGGGAAGTAGGTGCCCTCTAAGTGGTGTGTCTGAAGAACAGGATTCCCCTCGGACTCCTGATCAGGCCTCGTTGCTGAATGTTGGTGGCTTTTAGAGACCAAAGGCTTCTTAATAAAAATGATACAGCTTCTTTAAGTGCAAAATCTGAGCACAATAAGAAATAAATCATTTTAGGATGCATATTGATTTCAAAAACCATGTACGTACAGCTTGCAATAATTCTGAGTTGCCTGAAATTAAGTAAGATCGTACGTTTGAAATGAAAATTGAAGCCCTTTTGATGTTAGGTAAGGCTCATGCCTTCCCTTCATCAGTGGAGGGTAGCTACTTACTGAACGCACAGGGGAAAGGAGGCTGATCTCCACACCTTCTCAAATATGTAAAGTTACCGAGATTATGATATCAAGCTGTACCCTTCATATATATCTTAAAGACTGTCTCAGAGGCTCCGGAGGACTGCCACTAGGCTCCTGAAACGGGGAAATGTCACATCATATTGGGAAAGAACTGCAGCCCCGTGCCCAGAAGTCCACGCCACTCCTGTAGACGAGAAGATTCTTCCATTTCCATAAACTGGGCTGTGGCCTTCTAATGGTTTTGGCGATGTGAGAGCAGGCCACGTGCATTTTGAAGAGTGAGTTAGTGTGTTTGTAAAATAACATTTCATTTTTGCAGGCAAGTGTCCTTCATCACTAAAACAAAAGTCCAAGTTACTACAGCAAGGTCAAGATGATTTAAAACTTGACACAGGTTTTCTACAGATGCAGGGCTTTGCAATACCTTTTCACGAATAGCAAGAATAGAAAACACTTGGGACTGAAAAGACTGGAGACATTTGCCAACCACAAAATTTATAACAGGAACCTGCTAAAATTTTCATATTTCAACTTCTCTGAAGGAAACCTTCGGAGAACTTCTGCAGAGATGTTTCCCCACCCCACCTGCAGGGTAGACTGCCTAATTCATCCAGTGTGGATTGGCCTGCAAAGGTAGCTTTTATCTTTATTTCCCAGAGGCCCTGTCTACAATTCACCTCACCCATCGCTAGACCAAGGAATATAAGCATTTGCCTAAAGTAAATATTCTTGGAGGTTCTCAAGGATTTGGAAAAGGAAGAATTTCCACTTCATATCTGAGTGACTGGGTGGTAGTCAGTTACGGAACACACCCCCCCCCCACATACACGCATATGCCCACACGTACCCCTCAGGATCGCACTCCACCCAGACCAGGGTCCTGTGTTTACAATCTTAGATTTCAAAATGTTCTCAGGTCTCTACCACGAAAAAAAAAAAAAAAAAGAATCATTCTAGTGAGGACCAATAAAAGAAGCTATTTTCATATTTATGGAAGTAGTTTTTCCCACGTAAATACTAATGTTTGCTAAGGTCTGTAAACACAAGTATAAAACAGAAAAGGGGTAACCATCTGAGTCTAATAAAGTGTATGGAACTCTGGCCGAATGTTTTAGAATTCTCTGCACTTCAGAGTGAACCCTGATGGCTTTTAAATTTAAGTTAACCATAAGTCAGACATGAACTAATCACAGTTTGAGGTTGCTATTTGGGCGGATTTTGAGCTGTATTATCCAAACAGGATATAATTTCAAAAACCTGACTCTGGGTTTGAGCTATGCGGGTGCGCCAAACATCAGGCTAAGTACTACGCTGAATCCCTTTTATGCATATCCTCAGCATACTATAAAATTAAAGAATATCACGGGAGTACCTGGGTGGCTCAGTAAGCATCTGGCATCAACCGCTCATTGCATGATCCTGGGTTTTGAGTTAAGCCTCACTGCTCGGGCTCTCTGCTGTCAGCATGGAATCCACTTCAGATCTTCTGTCCCCCTCTCTCTCTCTCTGCCCTTCCCCTACTTATGCATGCTCTCTCTCAAAAAAAAAAAAAAAATTTCAAGGATTTAAAAAAAAAAAGCCCATGCACTGATCAGAGCAGACTAGATTCAATGGCCAAATCATAAAATCTAATTCATGAACTTTGCAATCCCAGGGTCCTGTCAGTTCTCACATGCCAGTAGGTAACCCTCGATTTCAGAAAGGCTCTCGGGAAGTACTCTCCCCAGAAGGTCGCCTTTATAAGCCCAAGAAAAGATGAGGAAGGTAAAAGTGTATGGGCACGTGCCACCAGAAGGGAAAACGATCTGACGTTGGTTAAGAGAGGTATTAGAAATCGTGAAAAACCGACCCCAATCCTCTCCATCGTATCCAGGAAGACACTAACAACCTGCTTCCTAAGTGGGGATACAAGGAACACCTTACAGGGTTGTGCAAAAGCATCCATTCAACCCCGTGGGCACATTTTGTAGTGTTCCCATCAAACACTACATGCTGAACCTTTTAGCGCCTCAGTATGCATGGATGCTGCACAAAGAAAGACTTCATTACCAGGGAGGTCTAACTAAATATTTGGAATTAACTCAGCCTGTTATTACCTTCACTGGAGAGAGAGAATCCCACCTGCTGTTTCCGCAAGCAGTAGTTGATGTGTGCAATATCATGCAAACAGTGCCGGGGAGTTCCTTCATCGCCTGCCTCCGACCTAATCCGATGAATCAAAGGAACAGTTAAACGAGGGTTTCGTTTCGTTTTCAAAAGGCTGAGTCACCTAATATCCGTAATCGCTTCAGAATTGAAGAGTGATGTGACGGCTGCCGGGTGACTTGCCCCCGTCGAAACGGTCAGCAGCGGCTGCCGTTGCGTGAACCCGATGTGTTCCTCAACTGTCATGCCCAGATGGCAGTGAAGATATCTCTGAAGATACTGTGGGTTTTTGTTAGACGGAGTAGATTTTCTCCTATTCCTTTCCATGATCTCAACTAAAGCATAGACTGATTTTCTCCTGAGCTCACCTCTGTGGTACCTTCCTCAATCCTAACAGTGAGGATGCAAGCCCTCTTGGAAAGCACAGGGGGCTGGAGAAGGAAGGGTACCTGGTGGAGAGAGGGCTCACCTGGAGAGGCAGCGGGGTGCAGGGACGGGGCAGGGGCTCGCAGAGGCAAACCTGGGTTCCGAGACCTGGCCCTGCCGAGTTTTTTGCCAAGAACAAGTCCCTGAAACTCTTTAAGAGTTTATCATCTCAGCCTTAAAAATAAGAGGGTTGAAAGCGATCTTCCAAATACTTTCCAGCCCTGATTGTGCAGTGGAGAAAATTCTGTAGTAATGGCACGTGGAAGCATTTTATAAAGTTCAAAATGAGATTATGGATCATTTTTCACTTAACGCTTAATCTTTAAGTGCTGCAGTTTTCAAGGCAGAAGGTTTTAAACGTGAAATCAGGTTGAACCACAAACCTAAACCTCTCGCTCTCCAGACAAGGAGACCGGTGCCACATTCTCTTGGGTCTTTGTGTCCCTCCTCTCTGCCTCTCTTATTAGATCCAGTGGCTTTACACAAATCACTGGAAGTCCCCTTATGTCATTAGAATCATTTCATCTGGAGATCGTGGGGTCCAGTGCTTTCTAATTAGTAACTAATGAGGGGGATACAACCATCTTGAAATAGTTTTAATGCTGTCCTTCCTGGAACACACCCTGAATCATTTGCCTCGTGTACGACTCCTTTCTCTGCGTTGCCTGAATTTAGGATTTTCTATTCTCACGTTCGCTCAAATTCCTGTTGCATTTTTAGCGAAGCTTTTCACATTGCCCTTATTTTCCCACAAAATCAAGCAAAACTCAGAAGCCTGGGGCACACCGCGATAAAGGTTTCCAAGAGTAGTTGCTCATTATTTAAAAGCTGAGTTAAGGTATCGGGAGACGTGAAGCCAAATGTTCTGTACCATACTTATATACAGTTGATGTGGAAAAATGTCAGTGTTCTGTTTGAAGCTACACCTTAAAAATGTTTCTCCGGAAATATTATCTGAGAGATCTAGCATAACTTTGTTCAAGCAAACCTATCACGAAGGGGATCTTTTGGTGTTGTTCGATTTGATTACATGGCATTCTTAACGTGCCTTACCTTGAAATTTTACTTTGTTTACTGTGCTGAGCACTCGTGATAGATCTTTTACTGTGGTTAGTTTTATTTGCTTTCATTTTATTTTTTTTTTATAACCTGTTTTTCCTCTCCTGTCTACCTGATGATTTTTGAATTGTTTGTCTGTATATAGCTATAGACATAGATGCTACTGGCTTAGATGCAGAAGAAAATGATATTCCAGCAAACCACCGCTCCCCTAAACCCAGTGCAAACAGTGTAACGTCACCCCACTCCAAAGAGAAAAGAATGCCCTTCTTTAAGAAGGTAACATTAACTTCCAAGCTCCCGTCTGCTCAACTGCTCAACCGCACTGCGCCACACTTCTCGTCCTGTTGATTGTCTGCGTCTTTTGATAAGCCAATAACGTGCATGCTCTGTTATTCTTTGTTTCTTTTCCACGCTGCTGTAGCTAAGCAGAAGCAGAGATCGGTAAGTTTACATTGACATAAGCTGTGTTTATCCTGCCACTGGCATCATTAGCATTAAGTCCCACGGTATTATTAAACGCAGTCATTTCTGTCCCAAGAAAAGAACCTATCAAACAAGCTCATGGAGTCCATGCATTTCAAACTGACTAAATTCAGGGAGTGACCTGTTCAAGCGCTATTACAGTACTTATCCTTTTTGATGGAATAATATCTACCACCAAGGGAATTTGTTTAAACCTTCCAAGATGTCAAAACACTGACAACTCCATATAATGCACCTGTATTGTGCATGCTTATTCTGTCTGTCTTTGTCTCTTTTCTTTTTTCCAGAAATTTAACTTATATCAAGCATATTAAAACCATGATTAGATTCTGATTGATGATATCCAGATACAATAGCTTGTACTAAAAAAAAAAATGATTCAATTTTTAATTTAGTCAGTATTTAAACTTCTGATCCACTAGGTGCAAACTCTGCAGATGAACAAGACCAGTGGAAAACTGCAGGCTTGTTTTGGCGGTTTACTGTGAGTTTTTCCTATTGTCATATATAAATCCTCTCCCGATGTTCTTGCCTTCTCCCATAGTCAGGTCGCAGCATCTCACCTGTTGGATAACAGGGTGGTGGCCGTGCGTAGAGCCTTTGCCACCGGCCCGCCAAGGTGCCACACAGTGATGCTCCTTGTCCCCTGACTGGAAACCAGGGTATTCCCAAGTGCCCTTCACTCCAAAGTCTGTCTCCTTTCGCACATTTTGTAGCTTGAAAGCATTATTTTTTAAAGACATTCCCCCCACCCCCGACACACATACACACACACACACGATTGCCATTCAGTCCTTTCTTCTCATACACACCACTTTGCACAGCCTACTGCTGTGCTGTCTTTTGGAATCCTACTTCCCAGCATCACCATGTCCAGCATAATGATGGGTACGTCGTGACATGGATGCAAGCATTTTGCTACATGGAGGAACTCTAAAATCATCCATGAAGTGTCAGAGGCTGAACTGTAAAGTGTGTTGTTGTTTTTCTTTTTTTTTTTCTTTTTTTTTAATAAATGATGGTTACATTTATAATAGAAGACCTCAGCACTCCAGGCAAAAATGAAAACCTGGATTTTTGCGTTAACATGGACAGCCCCAGCCTGATGTACGTCCACACCAGTGGGCCCATCTTGCTGGTCCTGTCTTCTCGGCGCAGCTAAAACTTGCAGCCAAGTGACTACCAGTCTTCATAGCACAGATGCCTAGAAAATCTGCATCCTTCAGATGCTCTGGATCTTACAGAGCAGTGACCTGAACGAAAACCATGTTAGTCAAGATGTGTTTTTTGAAGTTTGCTTTCTCTTAAATTCCCAAACCTTACAGATGTCTATGAACCACGATTTTTTCAGCTACACAGTTGGAACAAAATAGGGCTAGCGGGAAAGGGTAGATAAAAATGATGGTGTCGTTATCACTAGGGCACAAAGTACCAATATTCCATCAAATAAGGTAATTTCTGTAGCTACCCTATTGAATACGAAGCTGATTGATGACCGGCATGGGTAACCCTTTGCTAGTTGGTAGCCACAGACTGAAGGAACCAAGACCTTATGTATGAAATCCTGGGCCGCTTAACCCTTACAGGCTTGAAATAAAATTTCTTGGTAGCCGTTGCTGAAATATGTGCAATTTATATTCCTGATCCCAACAGTGGAAAAGGTATTCTTCTACTGAATAGTTATAAGGACTTGGCTTCTAAACAGTTTCAGTATGATCCCAGGTGTTATCAATGTAATAACAAATATGCTTATGATGCCTTCGGCACTGGTATTCATTCTTCTTGTGTTACTGATTATGTGGTGAACTTCAATGTAGAGCTCAAAAACCAAAAGCCAACCTGACATTCACCGATACGATTGTTTTCCATCTTTTAGGTTGCTTTTAGAGTGGTGCTCGTGGCATTTGTGCTGTTACTGTATTATGTTTGTCTTGTTTTTTTCTTTTTTTTTCCTGTTTGAAAATGTATTCTACCTTTCTTGTGTCTATTAAAATTAATTTTGAACACTAGCTAAAGTTTTAAGGAGTAAAATTGGACAGCACATGGCAGCATTTTTTTTGTCCCCAGAATGGATCTGTCCTCTACTATGGGCGGAATCACAGGTTGAAACTACAATGTTTTTTACCGCCCACTCCCAGCCCCCACCTGAAGCAAGTTAAGTTTAGTCAACGTCAGAAAGTTTGCAGTGGGCAATTTTAAGCAACCATACACTGTTCTTGAGCAACAGGCTGATGCAGAAATTGCATTCATGTTTGTACATCAGTTTTTCAAATTCTTAAAATAGTTAAAAAAAATTTTTTTTGTCTGTGTGATTCTTCAAACATGTAGTTTTCAGGCACTCCTTAATGCAGGAAGATTCAGATAGTAATGATTTGTGTACCTCACTGTGGGAGATCTTCTCTCTCTCTCTTTTGCATTAAAAAAAAGTCCTCTGGGGTCCGTGTAAGCATTTTCTGCTATAGAAATAGCCAGTTTTAATGTGATCAAACAAATTAGCTGTTACCTGATTTTTGGGGGAAAAATTTTGATCATTTTATGTGAAGCGGTTAAAGCTGAAACTTTTTGGAAGTTTTAGAAATTGCTACAAAATGTAGCTCATTCCCCTGCTCTTCCAAGAAAGAAAGAAACTATCGTAGAAAGGCATGAATTAGTTATGTAACAGAGACATGACCTAGGCCGCTCATGAGAAGCATATTAGATATGCGAGTTGATAATGAACCTTTTGAGGCCCCTGCAGCATGCTTGAATATGTTATCACACATTAACCCCCTTTCTTCCAAGGCACGTAAAGGCTACATTTTAAGTTTTCAAGTTCCAAGGTAGAGAAACCCAAAATCCAAAACCATGAATCACTAACCTGTGATAGGGATCCTTAGAACAGGCCTGCCTATTAATTTAAATTCTCACAGTACAATAGGGATTTGCAAGTATTTGGTAATGGGCGTTACAGTGTTCTGAAATTAGGTTTTATCCAGGTAAGACCAACATCCAGGATGCAAAGCTAATAAGACCTTTTTTTTCTCTGCAATTAACCACGTTAGTCTGATCACTCAGCTCTTCAGAAAACTCTCAAATGCATTTAAAAAGCAGTATTAACCTCCAGTCCAGCCTAAACACTTCTTCTGCATGAGGCATGTTTCTGTCCTTCCAACTAGATCTTGCTGAAAAGCAGCACTTCCTGCTTTAGGAACTAATATGTCAGTAGTATTTCTTGAGGCGAGCAAGAAAACTGTAGACAATTCAGTAAGTTGAAAAACCTTAGGAAAATAAGCCCACCATGCTTTGCTTGGGTTTATTGAGGAAAGAGGCAAGTAAGAAAAATAAAAGAAAGGAAAGAAAGAAAGAAAGAAAGAAAGAAAGAAAGAAAGAAAGAAAGACAGACAAGAAAGAAAGAAAGAAAGAGAAAGAAAAAAGAAAAGAAAAAAAATTTTGGAAAGCCGGTGCCTCCTATGAGAGTTCAGGAAGAACAATTTATACTTAAAATATCTCAGCTCCCCCTGCCTCTTAACCATCTGAAGTCCTCTCCTCTCTCTCTGCAGACAGAGCACACTCCTCCTTATGACGTGGTACCTTCCATGCGACCCGTGGTCTTGGTGGGCCCATCTCTGAAGGGCTATGAGGTGAGTGGCTGCCCTCCGGAGCACACGTGACCTTCACCAGCAGCACTGCTTTGTGACTCCACCTCCCTCTTGAATTGAGACCTTAAAGAGCTCGTAGCAGCAAAGCATGTTATTTTCCAGGCTGTGGTACATAGTGCTTCCTGTTTTGTTCTGTTTTGTTTTTATGGATGTTGCTTTGGAGATTTTGCTAGCTTTAGTTTACTCAGTCTGGGGGGAAATAGTATCAAACGGAGAGCTGCCCGAAACCACTTGCGATGTCATGTTATTGTCACTAAAACATCAGGATAAGTTGGGGGAACGTTCCCGTTTTAATTGTCACTGCTACCACAACTCAGCAACGGAAATAACGTGACAAGTCTCCCATGCTACTTTATCCAAAGGGGAAGCATAGGATTTTAAACAGTCTGAGGAGTAGAAGTGTTTTATCCTAATTAGTAATATTTTTATTGTGTCTTATTAATTTATTGCTTGCTCAATTGCAGGTCACAGATATGATGCAAAAAGCGTTGTTTGATTTTTTAAAACACAGATTTGAAGGGCGGTGAGTATTTCAGGATACTGGATTTTGTGGATTTCTTCTTGACGGTGACAAAACCCGGGTGGGACAGGCGTGTGATCCCAAGAGAAAAATGCCCTCTGAGGTCTCTATGGTGATGGGCAAGAAGTCTCATTCAGTTCACTCTGATTCAGAAAATATCTGTCATACTTGCTCAGCACATCCTCAGCCCTGGACTAGCCAGCTCTCTGTTCCTGTACCTGCATCTATAAGCTTTTTGGCCTGTTGACTAGTATCACCCTAAGGTCAGCTGGCTCTCAATGCTGCACAGATATAATATACATCGTCTTCTCACTTTTCTGACGTCTGTACCATCTCCTCTCTCACCAATTCCCAAGCCCCTTGTCATCTCTCTCCCCCGTGGAGGCAAACAGAGAACCTCTAGAGTTGCCACGCCCACACCGAGCCCCACTTGCGTGTTTGCTGGAATGCCCTCTTTTTTTCCCTGTCACTACGTTCCTAGCAATGGCCAACCCAACGACTTGGGCACTTAGATCCCTTCCTACCCCAACACAGCTGGAGAATCCTTTCCTTTCTCCTTATCGCTACTTCTCATTCTAATGGAAACTCCATCAGCATCTAAAAAGGTACTTTGTCCCTCTGAAGAAAGTTAGAACGTCTGTTCCCCTCTAGCTGCTCCATTTTTCTCCTTTTCTTTTCTTTACAGCAAAGCTCCTTGAGCCCACAGTACACACTTGTTCTCCTCTCATACTGAAGTGTACTCCAGTTACGCATCCATCGCTCAACCCAAACTAGTCCTGTCAGATCGTCCGTGACTTTCACCATCGTTAAATCCAGGGGTGAATCCTCAGCCCTCCTCGTAACTGACATGTTGGACTGCCTCATCGTCATTTAAATACTTTGTTTGCTTGCTCCCTACAAGCACACTTTCCTGGTTTTTCTTTTATCTCACTTTGTCTCCTTGGCTGGTTCTTTCTCATCAGCTAGACATCTGGGAGAACCCAGGGTTAAGTCCTTTGGTGTTCTCTCTTCTAGTTACACTCATGCCGTGAATGATTTCATTTTAAGACTTTCAATAGCACTCCTTCGCCGGTCTGTCCGCCGAATTCCAGACCCATATACCCAGCTGCCTATTAGGATCGCCACTAAGATGTCCAGTGGATTTCTCAAACTGAACCTCCCAACTCCCCTAAAGCCTGCTCTTCTCATAGTCTTCCACACCTCAGGTATAGCTGCTTCATCTTTTAGTTCTAACACCCATTAGTCGCAAATCATTGAATCATTCTTTTTTTTTTTAATGGTTATTTATTTTTGGGGGGGGGAGGGGCAGAGAGCGGGGGTAGAGAGAATCGCAAGTGGCCTCCAGGCTGTCAGCACAGAGCCCAACACCGGGGTCGATCCCACGAACAGTGAGCTCATGACCCGAGCCTACATTAAGAGTCAGACACTCGGGGCGCCTGGGTGGCTCAGTCGGTTAAGTGTCCGACTTCAGTTCAGGTCATGAACTCACGGTTTGTGAGTTTAGGCCCCGCGTCGGGCTCTGTGCTGACAGCTCAGAGCCTGGAGCCCGCTTCGGATTCTGTGTCTTTCTCTGTCTCTGTTCCTCCCCCACTTGTCCTCTCTCTCAAAATTAAATAAAGATTAAAAAAAATTAAAAAAAAAAAAAAAAGAGTCGGACACTCAACCACCTGAGCCACCCACGTGCCCTGAATCATTCTTGACTATTCTTTTTCTCTTACATTCCACATCCAAATGCTGTTGTCTGTATCTTTAAAATATATCAAGAATCTACCGACTTCTCACATATCCTCTGCTATCCTTTTGGTCTAAGACCCCATCATCTCTTCCCTGGATTATTATAAGTTGCCTCCTAACTGGTATCATTGCTTCTACCGTTGCTTCCTTAATGTCTCTTCTCAATTCAGCAGCCTGAGCAACCCTGTTAAACTGTGAGCCAGATCCCATCACTGGGTTCAGACCCATCCCATGACTTCTCTTTTTACACAGAGTAAAAATCAAAGTCCTTATAGTGGCCTTTAAGACCCTCTCTGGTCTGACCATGCACACCCCCACACCCTGCCTTACTTCTGACCTCATCTCTTACGCTCTCCCACTTGCTCATTCTGTTCCTGCTGTACGGACTTCCTTGTTCTGGGAGTGTGCCAGACAGCCAGATACATGCCCACCTCAGAGCCTTTGCACTTGCAGTTCCCTGTGCCAGATACTCTTCTTGGTATATGTGCACACACATACACACAGCCATCCCCTCTTCCTTCCTTTTTTCCATGAATCTTTTATGTATTTATTAATTTTGTTTGTTGTCATTCTCCCATAGTTGGAATATAAACTCCATGAGGGCAGGTTTTTTGTTCTTTTGTTGTTTTTTGTTGTTGTTGTTGTTTTTAAATCTCTTATATGAACTGTTGTGTTCTCAGTGCCTGGAACTGCGCCCATTGTGAACAATACTTGTGGGTGACTGTTGAATGAATGTCTCCTATATGTGTCCTGCTAGAGATACGCAGAGATGTTGAAGCCATTCACTGTCTTTGTGGACCTTAGGTGTCGACCATCAGTTGAAATTTCGACCAGTGACATATAAAGTGAATGAAAGGGCAGCTCAGCATGTGTGTGTCTGGGGTAAAGAGAGGAGGGAGGAACACTGACAGGGATGTCCTCTCTAGGAAAGGTTTTAAAGTGGTAGCTAAGATTTCACCAACGCGAATTAGAAAGGCATTAGAAAGGATGTCCAGGCATCAAGGTGTGGTACAGCATCATGGGGAAGGCAAGCCAGCTAGAGGTCTTTGAGTCAAGTCCCTCGACAAGGAGTGACTGGTAACAAAGCCAGGGCCATATCTAGTGGGTCGTGTTAATTGGCTTGGACTGAATCCTTTTCCTCTTTTCCCCTTCCCCCTCAGCTTGCTTCAGCAAGTTTTATTGAGCATACTCTATGTGCCAGGCATTGCGAGGGGCAAAATCAGACAAGGGCTTTGGCTTTAAGGAGCTTGCTTCAAGTTCACTGAAAGGAAGCCTTGAGTCAGATAATCAGTGGGCACCGTGGTCAAGGTTAAGCCACTTCCTGAAGCATCAAAGAGATGATAGGAGTCTAAAATGGAGACTTCGAAATTTAAACAAAGAGTTGATTGTAGGGGATGTGGGAACATACTGGGTTGGTTTAAATCTCTGCATTTTTAACAAGACAAATTTGGTGCCTCTCCTCGATACTCCCTTCCTTCTTGTATCCTAACAACACAGGTACAATAGATGGTATCTGTGGGTTTCCGTGTTCTTTTACATTTCTTTTTTTTTTTTTTTTTTAATTTTTTTTTTTCAACGTTTATTTATTTTTGGGACAGAGAGAGACAGAGCATGAACGGGGGAGGGGCAGAGAGAGAGGGAGACACAGAATCGGAAACAGGCTCCGAGCCATCAGCCCAGAGCCTGACGCGGGGCTCGAACTCACGGACCGCGAGATCGTGACCTGGCTGAAGTCGGACGCTTAACCGACTGCGCCACCCAGGCGCCCCCTTTTACATTTCTTAATATCCTGCTTTTTCCTTGACCACACCTGCTTCTATAGCCATTTCTAATTTATATTGGCTTTCAGCAAGGGAGGCCAGGACAAGAAGAGGACAGAAAGAGGCAGAAAAGGAAAGCAGACACTGATTTGAGGTATAAAAAAGACTTGGTAATCAGGATACACCTAATCAAACGCTCCTAATTTGGTTTTTTTCCCCATAACTTTATGAAGTATTTTTCACTTTGTACCAGGAAAACATAGTCTTTGGCTTGGTCCAAGGCGACATGTCGGGCACTGGCCAAGTGAAAAAGGCATCGTCCTGACCAGGCTTAGTTACTTTTCAGTTCTTCGTTGTTGCCTCTGTCATTCATCCTAGTTTGGGATGGTCTTCGTGAGAATGCACACCCAGAAAATTCTGTTAGACAAAGCACTATGCTTTCTGTCGCTGAGTTAGCCCACTGTCCTTTCCAAAACACCAAAGATGGAGAAATGAGATGGTATTTCCTTGCTGTCTAAACCTAGTAAGTTCTGAATTTGGAACACAGATGCCAGCCATAGGGTATATCTTGGACCCATGTTCTAAAGTATTATCCATTCAGTCTGATTTCATTTAAGAGACAAATGAACCAAATATGTGAATACTATATTGATTTGCTGCTTCTGGCCAGGAGTAATTTCCACATGGTTTTATTAATGGGCCTGCCTTGGCTTATCTGACCCATAAAGCTCACGTTTAACACTCTAGGCTTGGGATCACCTAGTAAAGATCCTCAAAGGAATTAACAGGGTCCATAAGATACACTTACAAAAATCCATGCAAAAATTGAATTTTTTAACACATGGCAAGACATCCAGAGTCCCTGAATCATTAAATGTCTTTTGGTTTTGGCACGAATAGGGGAAGGAAACTCATCACTTCCCTATACGTGGAATTTTAGAAGGGGAAAACTACTCCTTAATTATCTATGAAATAAACTAAATTTATTTTTAAAAATTGGAAGCCCAAGGGGAAGAAAATATAAGAGGAAGTGTTGGTGAGGAAGAGACTGTTGACAGGAATTCTTTTCTGTTCTTAAACCTAGTTAGGTTCATTTGTTGAAGCCCTGGAGAGTTGTCAGAATCGTGATCCTTGCTGTTAAATAGCGTTAAAGTGTGTCAGGTCAAAGAAGAGATGATAAATCATTATCTTCTCTCTGTTGTGTGCAGTGGAGTAGCCCATTTAAAATCAGATCCATCCTAACCAACTGTGTCGTGTAAACAAAGCAATCTTCGGATTCACCTTGTAGGACATTGACAGGTAAATTAACAAGGAAATTGAGGACAAGAAGGAGAGCTACCATCAGTGATAAATTTGGTTTTCCTTCCTAGTGACTTTGCAAATGTTAGCCGTCAGCACTGAAGTGTCTGGAATGCGAGCTGAATTGTAGGGATACGTACGCTGTTGAATCTTCTGTGAGGGAATTTTACTGGAAATCAATAATCCTGGGAAACATTACATCGCTGTATT